TAACTTTCTTTTCGTGTTATTTCTATTTCTTGCAGCACATCTCTGCTAAGATTTCCCCTCCCCCAGGCTAAGATTTCTGTCCTTTTCAAGTTCACACCGCAAATATTCTACCTTCCTATGTTTTTCAGGTCTATTGTATTAGTGCCAATTCTGCATTCTCTCTGCTTCTCACCTGTTTCTATTTATTTGTGTATAAGATGTCAAAGGAAAATGAAAAGTAACACCTCAAAATACCACCTTGAAAAAGAAAATGCCAACAAATTCTCTTCCACACCTGAAGCTTTTAATTCTTTAATCCACCATGGAATGTTGTTTAATTACATATTTTATTATGCATAACTGAAAATTATGTACTTTAGTTTCGACAATGATATGAAAGCACGTATTGTTTATAAATAGAGAGCGGCTGCCTTGTCTCTATTTTTTTTATGTGCCAAATATTTGTGGAATTCTCACAGGTTTGAAAAGTTGGCTTTTTGAAATTTTGAGATCTCAGAGGAAGACTTTAATGTGTTCTCTAGCAAGCAGAGAATTCATTACTTTGCAAAGAATAAGATGACATCACAACATTTTTGTGGGCAAAAATCATGGAATAATTTGGATATTCTTACTGAAGTTTCATGTTAATTTGTTAATGAGTTTCACATACTATTGGGAGAATGTTACCATTGTTTAACTAGGCGTCCATTTTCCCTTTCTGTGTGAATGAAAATCTCTTTAATTAGGTTTGTTCTTTGAAAAGTATTTGGTGCATATGGATCTTATACCAGGACAGCAGAATTTTGAGGTTAATATTTCATAATGAAAGATTCCATCTATTTAATTGCAATTACTTAGCAATTGACTTTTTCTGAAAAATTTGAATTCGTTATTTTTTCTGCATTTCAGAAAAAAAAAAAAAGAGAGGTAGATATTGGAGCTTAGAAGACTTGGGTCTTGGTCACGGCTACTTGAGAGCTGTACAGGGCTGGGCAGTTGGGGAAGCAGTTGAAATACTGCTTGAAATGCGCGTGTCCCACATCACAGTGCCCTGCACCTCATTCAGCTTCCCGCTAGCGTGCACTCTGCGAGGCAGTCCTGATGGCTCAGGGAGCTGGGCCCCCGCCACTCCTGTGGTGGACCTACACCTAGTTCCTGGTCCCTGGCTTTGGCCTGGCTCAGCCCTGGCTATTGCAGACATCTGGGATTGAAGCAGAGGTTCGTGGATCTTTCTCTCTGTGTGTGATTGCCTTTCAAATAAATACAAAGTAAATTTAAAAAATTAAAGAGAGCTGAACAAATCAGTTAACCTATTTGAGTTTTCCTTCCCTTTTCTCTGAAGAGGGAGCTTCAGTGCCTGCTGTTAAGTACCTCTTAGTCATATGGAGAGGTTTAAACAAGGTAATGTTTGTCTCAGTGCCTTATAAAATAAAGCATTCTGCAAATGTTGTTGCTATTACCATCTTAAACACATTTGAGATAATGGTAGGAAGGGGCGGCGGAGGTGGGGGGAACTCAATAGGTAAGAAGACTTTGTACTTGACCCGGCACAGCAAATATTTGGAAATTAAGTTGCAAACAAAGGTGGAGTAGGTAGCTGAAACCCGTCTCCTCACTCAGTCAGATGCTGTTTGGTGGATTTATGCTCTGGGCACATGTTCATTTTGCATCACATCCTAAAGGCTCAAGGAATTGATGGGCGCGTTTCAGTATCTGAGCCGCCTTCAGCATTCTCACCTAGTAGGCACGGCCGGATCTCTTGTGAGCGGAAAATCAGAGCAACACAAAGGACACCGTTTCTTTTCTGGGAGGTGTAAGGGCGCGCATCAGACTCACTCACTGGAATGAAAACTTGTTAGTCCCCCAAAAGGCAGATTCCCAAGTCAACAGTAAAGAAATACTGTTCCGCATTTAACTTAGAGCCAAGGACGCCTCTTCTGAGTTTACTCCGCGAAGCGACAAGCGTAATACACCACACCGCTGCATTCCCTCATTCACCTTTACCAGAGAGAACAGGGACCACGTCAGTGCTTTTGATCACAGTAGGTGTATTAGGAGCTGAAAACAATCGATGGGGAGAGGGCACTTCGTATACAAGCTCGGTACAAGGCAAGAATCGGTAACTGCATTTTGCTAAAAATTAAATTTGGAGATAGGTAGCTTCCACATAAGTCGGGTAATGTAAGAAAAGCTTATCCATGTTGCTCATTTTTTTAAACATGAATTCCAAACTATTTTATTTAACATTTGTTAATGTTAAGACAGGTATAGTATTCTGGACATACACCTTCCATCACATTTATTATTTTATATTTTAATAAAAATGTGCATTAATAGATTGTAGTTTAGTTTCTGTCAAAAGACATGCAAATAGTATGTACATTAAAAGGATTGCCTCTGAAGAAACACTGAAGCCATAATATTCCCTTAAAAAGTAAAAAATAATTATGTGAGGATTATGATATTGGTATCATCTTCTAATATTTGATATATATTTTTAGACCTGCTGGTTTCCAGATTCTAATGCAAATCTCCAGCTTGTTTAACACAATAGTCCTACTTCTATCAGTTATATAATAGGGTATTCCCATTAAGTGATTTTTTATCATTTCACCAGTTTAGAATACCTCATTTATTGAACTCTCTGAAATTTTACAACAATAAAGGATTTTAATAGCAGCCATATATTAACAATAGAGAATAGGGCAGAATTTCATAATGGGATGTATAGGATTCTTTTTTGAGTCTTGAGTCACTTAAATGTTTTCTATTTAAGCTATGTGTTTTAAATAAGTAGTTATAGATACCATTCCTTGGGAAAAAACTTTTAAAGTTGAGATTCCTTAGTACTAAATGCTATTACATGTTTTATACATAATATGTACAGACTTTGTTATCAAGTGCCATGAAACTAGGGCACACATATTGGTTACCTTGGTTTTCAAAGGTGATGTGTCAACTCTGCATATTGTGTGGCGAGTAGATACTATCAACATTATTTTTTGCATAATGTGCAAGTACTATATGGCCACAGAGTGTAATACAAATTAGTGGCAAAGTGCTGAGTGAAGGAATCCATGACAGATTCAGATGCACAAGGTCGAACATTACCCGTAAACTACCTGACTCTGCTAAGGTTGTAACAGCAAGAACCAGTATGTCATGCCCAGCTTTCGTTTCTGAAATACTTGGACACAACGAAACTTGTCAAAGCGATTTTATCACAGCTACAGGCAAAAAGAGTACTGAAAGAGTACTGACACTGGGAGAGCAATGTGGAAGATGACCTGGACAAAGCGTGTCGTCTTCCCTGAAAATAATTTTGCTCACTACGTCACTGAACATCAGTCATTAATATGTGCTTTCTAAGAGATTAGTAAAACATGCTGACTTTATAAAGAGCTACATGGAAATTTTGTTGACATGTTGACTTTCACTGAAAACATTATTTCAAAAGAAATTAGGAAATTACTAGGAATGGGAAAATCTTATTTGCAACCTAATGTGTCTTCTCTCCCAAATTACTAAATTTCATACCAATTTGACATCTTAGGCAGTATTGGGCTGATTATTAAAAAAAAAAGACATCAATTGTTTTCTGCTACAGTCTTCTTTTCTTGGAGAAAAGAAGGAAAAGTTTTGAAAAATTAAAAAGTCATAATAATTTCTATTTTTAAAATATATTAAATCTGGTTATTTTTCGAATTCAAATATCTTTGGTTCTACTGAGCAAGAGTTGTTGCCTCATTTAATAAAAAGTTTGGAAATCAGTTTGCAATAAACCAGCTGCCTTTCGAGTAGCTCAGCTGTGCTTCAGAAGTGAGCAAAAATTTAAAACTTTATTGGGAGTTCTCGATGATTCCATTTCAGTTTCTTAAGTAACAACAGTTCATCATCAAAGCAGCCCAGCTGCCTACCAAGGGCTCTTCAGGACCTGGGGCAACAGTAGGCAGAGAAAATGGTGATTCCACAGCCAGATCTCAAGAAACCCAGATATCCCCATTAACATCAAGAAAAAAAACATAAAAGAGGAACAAAAGAGGGTAAAGTGCAAAAAAAAAAAAAAAATCACCAAGACCTGAAATGCTGTCATCAAACTTCCTGTGACCATTAAGCACACTTCCTGGCTAAGTTTACTAAGTCTTGTGTTAAAAGAGTTTTGAAGATGGAGCTTAAACTCCAAGTGTGTTATTCTTATGTTCATCATGTGGTTTTTACAGTTTGGACAGAAACAAATGAATTATTAACTTATTCCACTCATAAGCTGAAACCAAAAACCAAAAACCAGGGTCAGCGTTGTCGCATACTAGGTAGGGGCTGCTGTGGCACCAGCATCCCACGTGCACACCAGCTCCTGGGCCTGCTGCTCCACTTCCCATCCAGCTCTGTACTGCTGCTCCTTGGAAGGCAGCAGATGGTCCAGGTATTTGGGCCCTTCACCCACGGGGGAGACCCGGATGGAGCTCCTGGCTCTTTTACGGCCATCTGGGGAGTCAACCAGTGAATATCACTCTCTGTCTCACCTGCTCTCTGAAACTCTTTCAAAGTAAGTAAATAAACGTTTAAAGAAAATGCTTCCTGAAGAGTTTTTATTCAGAGGGTTCATTTTCCCATTTACTTAATTTCTTACTATTAATAGCCTTTAAAAATACTTATACTTTAGCTTAAGAAAGTGTTGCTACAGTTAAAATACTGTGAAATAAAAGCAGGTTGAAGCACTCTAAGAACGTAACTGTCAGAGTGTGAATGTAGGTTTTTGTTGGAGTTTGGGCATGCTATGTTGTTTATCAAGCAAAATATCAACCAAAAAACATGGTTATCATTTTCATTGTGAAATTTCATAACTCTTTAAAAATGAGCATGTGTTTGTGACTTTTTACAATATTTTAAGTGACTTCTCAGTTGTTCTTTCGAAAAAAAATATCAAGAAAAATAGTATAAACATGCACTTAAGTGAGAGGACCATCCTTTGATTCTTCTTCAAGGTGACTTGACATAAGCAGACAAACCCTACCATGTCATACCATACAAACAATTTTAATTGTGTAGTTACAGTCAATAACCACTCCTAATCAGAACGTTTCTGCATAAAGAAAATTGTGATACACTTATAAAAACAGCCAGCTGTAACAAAATAGCTGGTGTTTTCATAGCCATAAACTCATAAAAAAGAAATACACCTTTATACAGAAATTTTATACAGATGTACCTTTAAAATTGATTGTAAACCAAAGGAAGACACATTGCAAACATCAATTATTTCACATTAATTGCATAATTTTCTAAGGTGATCTATTAGTTTTATTTACCTAAGCTTATTTGCATGATAGTAAAAATTGCATACAACAATAAGAGTGAAGCTTATAGTATGAATTGCTTGGATAACATAGAGCACTTTTTATAGGCAACTGTGTAAAGCACATTTTCTCTATTTAAAACTTTTAAGACACTTTGTTTTACTGCCCATCAAAATACATTTATAAATAGAAAAGAATATCAGTATGGTAACAAGAGAAGCAATATTACATTTAACGGAAACTTCCAAAAAATTAATTACAACATGATGCTGCAGGATCTACAAATAAATAATGAGGACTAAATTGTGTTTCACATTTTCTTTTCTTTTTCAAAAAAAAAAAAATAAAAGGCATGTAACAATGTGAATGAAAAAAATTACAGTGAACTTTTATTTCCAAAATAAAAACAAATTTGAATTACGGCAGTGCCATATAATACAAGGCATTTGTTGGCATATGTCATCTTTAAACTGCATTCCACAGTCTATAGTTCTTTTGTAACATACAATAGAGTAACAAACTCTTTTTTTTTTCTTTTTTAAAATAAGGGGCAAGTTTCCAAAGATCATAATTAAAGGAAAGGAAATCATAATCACAGAAGTTATAATGCTTGTTTGAGGCTCCAGAATAATAATCATTGAAAAATAAAAATCACTGGTACCATGCTTACAGGCACACACCTTGGTGTGTTCCGTGAACACAAATTTTAATACCAAACAATCCTCGATGCTTCACCTGGGGCTGCGAGCAGTTTGTAAAACTTTAGTGCAGTCTGCATGACTCCTCTCCCAGCCTTCCTGTCTGTGCGAGTTTCTGAAGATTCATTGGCCAAACAATGAACGACAAAGGGTTTCTGAGAGAATGCAAGGTGGACTTTTCATCTTGTTAGTAAATACCAGTGGCATTGTTGAACGAAAATAATACTACTATCTCAGTCTTTCAAATCAGCGCTAATGTCTGTGTTCCCTTCCACGGACAGCTCCTCTTCTAGCTTCACCGAAAAAAGGGTGTTGGCATTTTTGTCTTGGACACTCTCTTCCAAATCCTTGAGCAACTCCTCTTCCTTGTACTCTGCCACATCCACCTCGAGACCGGAATTGTCCTTCAGCTTGCCGTGGTGCTTGAGATAGTACCGCTGGTTCTGGAAGAACTTGATGATGGTGTACTTGGGGAGGTCGAGCTGGGCCGACAGAGTCTGGATGGCCTCTTCGTCAGGGTACAGGCCCACGTCTTGGATGAAGCTCTGCAGGATTCCCAGGGCTTCCACCGAAATTTTTGTTCGCGGCCGCGTCTTCTGCCGGTTCTCCTCGTCGGACTCTGCGGGCGAGGCCACGGTGGGCTGGCGAGGCGGGAGCCGGGGGCCCGCCTGCGGCTGCGGCTGCGGCTGCGGGGGTGGCGGCGCTGGCTGCTGCTGCTGCTGCTGCTGCGGCTGCGGCTGCTAAAGAGAACAGGCAGACAGACAGTCAGGGCTCTGCTTCCCTGCGTCTCACACAAAGCCCTCTAGAATGAGAAGACACGCGGCTCTGAATCCCACAGACAGCTGCTGCTTTCGTAGGGACATACATTCCAACTGAAAAGGCAGGACAGCTAAAATGGCCTGCAGCATTTAGAAAAAAAAAAAAAAATCAGAATGCTATGCACTAGGAAGGTATGAATTAACAGGGCTTCGGGGCCTCCCGTGCTTGCGGAGGAAGTGGACACTCAGTGCCGTGAACACCTGAGCCCTGAACACACTTCATCAGGCTCCGCATCAGAGGCAAAGACGGCAAAGCAAACTACGATGTCAGTAACTAACAAACGTTCACAATGAAGACTGAGACCCAAAGATTTCAGAGACGTTTCAGAAAGGTGAGCTACAGGTCTGTGGGGACACAACTTCGCGTTCTGCCCCCTAAAATCGGATGGCTACAACACGGAGCCGGAACAGAAGATGAGCATCTGTCCTTATTCCACATTAACTCTCGTGAGCACAAAGCATTTTTAAAATTCTCATGTTTGTGAATCTTGTTCGGTAGCTACAATTTAAGACATATTATTCCCTAGCAAATTGCACTAGGATGACACTGCAAGTTTTTCTTTCTTACCAGAAAACAAAGGTGCAATCCACCATACAATGGCTAGTAAATGGTTTTGTCTATAGTAAACTCAGATGTGATTAGGATTTAAATTTAGCATACAGACACCTTTTCATAATTAGTTTCTGCATATGTGCCATAATTTCTACATACAATTTTAACAAACGTGACACATTAATGTACTGTACACTCAATATCCATAATTTTTATCAGCAAACTAAATCAATCTGATAAGCAACAAAGTACTGGGCCTGAGCATTTTTTCTATCCCTTTAAGAAGCCATTTTATTAAAAACAATTTACATTTTCAAACAAGTACTATTTTTAATATTAATGTATGTCTTTCTCTTTTTTGTTTTTGCTCAAACAGTAAGTTTTTCAGCCTTTTGTGATTATTTTAATGTTTGATATCCTAAGGGATTCTCTTTTTCAATTTGTTTTGTCTTCAGTAACATGCAAGGATTTTTCCCCCTGGTAGACAGATAACTCTATTATTGTTTTTAGCCACATATAGATGCTCCCCCGCCCCCATCCCAGCAATACTAAGAATTAATGCAGGTGATCAACAGACATAAGGACCTTAGGACTCTGGAAGACAATGGCATTTTCTCTTAAAAGAGAAATCTAAAAACATCTCCTTAGATTTAAGAGAAACAAATTGTACAACCCAAGTTCAACTGCAACGCATCTTCTAAGCAATCAAAGCCTTATGAGCACCAACAATGTACCTGATCCCGGAACTCTTGATCTAAACTCACAGGGGAGTTCTCTAGGTGGACGAATGGAAGTGAGTTCCTTGCCATGGCAAACCAAGCACGTGGCTGAATCTGCTGGCACAGTGCTCTTTGGCTGTGGCCATGGTTAGTACGTGCTTCGCAAGCTGGAGAATCCTAACCAAGGGAGCAGGTCTTTACGCCACCCCCTCTGCCTCCCTTTCTTGCTGGCATAGGTAACCTGTGCCCGCTCACCTGAGGAGCAGCACCGAGCCACGGTGCAGGGGTCGGCAGGCCCGGTAAGAAAACGCCTCTAGACTCTCCTTTCCCAAGGGTGGTGGGAGAGGGGCTCTAAAGGAAAGACAAACAGATGTGACTCACCCCTAACCTGCACACTAGAAGGGTGGGGAGACAGCTACGCGGTGAAGGCAGGCCCGAGGAGCGTAGAGCAAGATTTCAATCAGAATTCCCTCCCGTCCTCTTTCTGGACAGAGCCCAGGTCTAAAACTGTGATTCCACAAACTTCCTTTACACAAACAGCAGTAATTCCTTTCCTCAGGGACAGTATGGTATTAATTAAGAGGTGGTGTTTTAAATTCTGATTTAAAAAAAATTGACAAAAAAAATTTAAGCTCTCACAAAAACCCAATATGAGCAAAGACACACTTGCCAAAACAGAAGTGAGAAGAGGGGGTTCCTCTTACTTTGGGGTGGGAGATGAGGGGACAGAGATACAATACATGCCCTGGAAAAAGTATGTTAATGTTTCTTTTATCTCCCCAAACAAGATGGCGGTGTATTGCTATTGTTATTTCCGGCAAAAGAGCCTTCTGTTTAGACGGATGCAAGAAGAGAAACACTAATTTCCCTGCTAAGTTTCAAGCTTTGTTTACTTGGTGCTGTACTGAATTGGCCAAGGTAAACGAACCTGAATCTGCTCTGCGGGAACATGGATGATGTGGGGAGGCCTGTCGCCATGGTGATGCACCGCGTTGCTCTCCTGTTCATAGATGGCATCCCGCTCTGGCTGAGGAAGACTGAGGAACCTTCGGATCATGGAGAGGTTCTCCCACAGGGTCCTGTTCTCTGGAGAAGGATCTTCTTTCCAGCGTAGCAGCTCACACAACCATCCCTTGGAGACAAGGGCACAACAGGTCAGTTTGTGTTGGGGGCTGTGGGGGAGGGAGCTGGCATCTTCCATTAGAAGCTACAAAGGAAAGGCTGTATGAATGAACTTTGTCTTAAGCACCGAACACTCCAATCTGTGCTATGATTTTTTTTCTTTTCACCTGTTAAGGTAACTGTTGTCTTAAGGAGGCAGGCTGATTTTAATAGATGTTCAGATTTGCATCTTAAAGGAGGGGCATGTTTTCCAGACTCAAGTACAACAGAGCTCTCAGAACACTCATCACAGACTTTGCAACATGTGGAACAGGCAAACAAAGTCCAGTGTGCCTCCAGGCTTGCCCAACTTTCTTGTCTGGTGAGTGACCACCAGAGGACACAGAGGACATTCAATGGGTAGGACTGATTTTAGCAATACCTTTTTTCCCTAAAAGGATTTCTTAAGTTTGTAATTTTTGTATTAAAAAGCAAACTATACAGATATAGCAAACTATATTTGTGTGTAACGGAGAAAGGACATGTGGCAGTTGTGTGAGAAAAGAACACTGTCTAGTACAAGGTACAATGATTAGAATGGTCAGGGCCGGCGCTGCTTGCACTGCTGGCATCCCTTATGGGTGCGGGTTCCATTCCTGGCTGTTCCACTTCGGATCAGCTCCCTGCTAATGTGTTTGAGAAAGCAGTGGAAGATGGCCTCTGCACCCACATGAGAGACTGGGAAGCTCCTGGCTTCAGATGGGCTGAGCCCGGGCCCGTGCAGCCATTTGGGGGGTGAACCAGCAGATGAAAGATCTCTTTCTCTGCCTCTTCTCTCTCTGTAGTTCTTTCAAATAAAATAAATAAATCTTTAAAAAAAAAAAAAAGAATGGGCATGGAAATTCTCCAAAAAAAGCAATAGCAACACAAAAAGGGACCTTGGAATCTCTATCTGCTATGGTTTGTGCATTAAGATTTATCAGACAAGAATTTTAGTAGGTTTCTCAGGTTAACATAGAACATGTCCAATGATTGTCAAAATCTGGATCTTCTCTGACACCTCCTGAGAGCCAGCATTTGACCCTGGGATTATATATCAAGCACCAAATGGCCTTTTCTAGCCACTATCTTGACTGTCCTGCTCAGCGGGGTGGAGATGGCCCACTCAGACCTTCACTGGCCACGGCAGCCGTCCCTCAGCTGTTGTGAGGCCTGCTAACAGCGTTCAATGGTGCTCCGCTCTGGACAAGTTTCTTGGAGCCATCTACTTGGATGCTTGGAAGGTTCCTTCACTTCCTCAGATCCCTCATCTTGGGTTGCCAGTGATGTATTGTCTCACCCAGTGTCACAAAATCCCTGGCCCCTGCCCTCACAGCAGACAACTCACTCTACCCTTCACTCTGTTCTCTAGGGACCCCCATCTCTATTCTTCTTGCTCCCTCCCCTACCAGTCTAGTGCTGGATTTTAGCTGGGACCACGTCCTCACTGGACTCACTCCCCCCTCATTTCCTCCAAAGCCCCCACCAAATAAGCACCTGATTCCTCATCCGAGGCTATGCCTTTAAGGAATCTGATGTAAGCCAATGGAGTTTCTTGGGAATTAAGTAAATTAGATTAATGGAAAAAAAATTAGTCCAATTTCTTTATTTTGTACTTTTTATACCTGGTTAAGGAGGGTTTTGCTGTTCATTTTATAGAGGTGAAGGCAGAGGATAGCATGACTTCCCTTCCTTTACCAAATGAAACCAATATGGAGAAAGGCCTTCTTCTGACTGCAACACAGTGGACAGAAGATCTGTTTTTCTCAAAATAGTTTGAGAGATTTTAAAAGATGGAAAACTGATTTATGTGCTTCCAGGGCCCACCTACCAGCCAATGTTAACTGCTGCTAAATCTCATGATATCTAAGTTTTCTAGGAGAGTTCTGATATTCTCAACATTTTTTAATTAAACAAATATGTGTAAGAGGATGATTTGATGTACTCATTCAGTGTCACTGAATACAAAATCCACGGTGAAGAAAACAGGCAGTAAACTCAAGATTTACCTCAAAGAGTATTAGCTAACAAGAAAATAATAATCACTGTGATTACAGTGTCACTGAGCAGTCTTCTCTTCTAAACATGACAGATCTATGCTTATTTTCAGAACACAGGATGACATATTTCAGCTCTACAAAACCCTATTTGAGTATTTGAGATCACATTCATGATGCCCTGAAGATGTCTGTTTAGTTTTTTTTCACAACTAAATATTTATTTTCTGGATTAAGCCATGAAAATATTACATATTTTCCTACATCTAAGCTACTTTGATAGATTATTTGCTCCTTACTTTTGTTGTTGGGTAGGTAAGGAATATGTCTTCCTGTAGGCTGGGATACTGTGTTATGACTACTTTCCCTCTTTACCATTTCTGTTTCTTTCACCTATGACAATTGACAGGATCCCTATGTCTGAACACAGCGAGTCATATAATTTTATTTACCTTTCAAGAGAAGTCAGAAGGTTCATAAAGAACAGGTTTTTTTTTTTTTAACTTAGCTGGTATTCTACTGTGGCAAAAATTACTAAACATTGAACATCTACAAATTTTAAAAAATGCTGGTAACTAAAAATTGCTAAAAAGTTAAACTAAGGATGATTTATGTAAGAAAAGCTTGGAGAGAGCTGAAAAATTCCAATGATTTTTCACATCCTTTAGGAACTTTTAAAAGTAATGCAGAGATCAGTTAGCGCCTGTATATATGTGAAAAAACATGTGGATCACAGATGTTCTTTGGAAAAGAAAATCATTAGTTCTTTTAAAATGGCTAATAATGATAGCTAATTCCTAAACAATCACATTCACGCTGTTTTAACAAATATTTCAGAAAAAGAGCCCTGACTCATTCAACAAATATTTTGCTTGTATTCTCACTTCTGTGTCTCTGTACTTATGAGACAGATCCTTATTTTTATTAATTGCCCATGACTAACATAACAGTTCCAGTAGTTTGCTATTAACCTCTAACCTTAAATAATACTTCTAATTCCTTATCTAAAAATAATTTGATGAATTATAAGTTGAAGCATGTCTCTGCTAGCGTTTCAAGAGACATGATGATTTTAAGAGACTGAAATTGGATGCTTCTTAGAAAACCATTTAACAGTGCAGCTGGGAACTGTTAGTTCTACAAGGGTATTCCAAAAAACAAGGCGGGGTGGGGGTGTATGTGTGTGTGCTTTTCTTGATGTGTGTATCTCTTAATCAAAACCAGACTTTATATGTGTGTTCTTTATTAGTGTAGAAATAAATGGGCTCATTCCCAATTTACAGTGGCAAAAATAAGATTTATTCTACTACTACTTTAATACCTTGGAATATTTTGCCTACTTCAAATCCGATTGATTGTGACTCTATTAATGATGACAGTAATCTGATCTCTGTTTTGTAGAAAGTGACTCAGGAAGCCAAATGCTTTCTAATTTCCCAATACCTTTTTCTAGGTCAGTTTTCACAAGTGCTATTGTCAGGGCAAATGAACTTGGGAAAGCAATGAATAACATGTCAGAGTATTTGCAATATTTGACAAATAAAAATAATTACTTCCAAAATGACAACGGTATAGATTTACTTGGGATGAGAGATGGGGAATGAAATGCAATCTTTTGTTGCAAGATGTGAACATCACTATGTTTTAAAGAGGAGTATCTTGTACTTGATTTACTATAAGACCAAAGGCAGGAGTAGGAAATTACTCTCAAAATTAAATTAGATCACAACTGTTTTAAACAGTAGAAAAGACAAGGGACTAAGAAACTTAAAACAACAAGACCAATGCATTCTCAGAAAACTAAAATGGTACAAGGAGCAACCTAAACTTTAAATGTAGTAAATTTGCCAACCAACATTACACTGCATATAAAGAGGGCAAAATATAAACAGTAGCCACATGTAAATAAATTAGTAAAACTTTCAGGATGTTACTACTTTTCAAACTGACAAAGTTTAATTTGACACCTTCTGTTCTAAACCCTTTGTTTCTATTCAAAATCACGCCTTGAGCTGTTGCTATCAATCACAGCACTCCCCCTATTACTTAAAAAAACTGGCATGGACCCTGAATAAGCTGAAAATGCCATGCAGATGAATTCTGGGATAATATGTTCAAACCTGTTATATACAACACAAATCCTGTAAAGTTATGTATTGTAAACCTACATTTTATGAGAACTAAAAGTCTTAAATCCATCTGCCACAAAGGAAATACTGTTATGTACTTTATAGTAACCAAGAGCCATCTGCAAATGTCTTGCTACCGTAAGCAAGAAAATGGTGCAAAAGATGCTAAACCTGAGACTGAAATAAATAACATTCCTTTGACTGGTTTTGGTTAGAGTTCTATTAAAGAAATGTATTATTAAAAAAAAAAAAAGGAAGAGAAAATGCAGAATGACTGCCAAACCAGCACTGCAAAAAAGCAAAACAAACTCAATGACAACACAATGGCAATTTATTATGGTCCATGAAACACATGACTGTATGCTCATTTTAAAGGAAAAATTAGCAGTTCTAAACTCAATATTCTAATGATGTGCTTTACTGACAGAATCTTGTTGTACCACATTAAATACAAATCCTGGCACCTTCATCTCTCAGCTGCTAATTTCCAACCAAACTAAATCTCTGATTTCCACTCCACTCTTTTTACAACAGTTAATTCAAGTCAATTCGCTGCTAACATTTTAATGAATAAGGGGTGTAGCACAATGATTTTGAGTCAGGAAAGTAACCTGCTTCCACGACTGAATTTATTGTATCTATAAAGACTTACACACATAAATAGAAAACCCTTAAAGGGCCTGGGCTGTGACTTTTTTTGGTGTATGTAACACAACTAGTTTTCTAGAAGAAAACATACTTCAGCCATCTCTGAGAAAAAAGTAATTTAATGGAATATGCATATATTATCATTATGTACATATACATTTTAAAACTAAGAGTTATAAAAAGAGAAAGAAAATGACAATTCCTGCTGCAACTAAGAG